GGATTTAACACTTTGACCAATAAATAACTTAACTGTTATTGATCATTTTATGAACCACCACAATTTATAAAATGGAGTTTAATTTCAGACAGCATATCTCTATAGRTGTCTGACCAGAAACAGATKAAATWTATGAGACAACGYATGTTGTGACTTGGCGCTATRTAAATAAAMTKAATTGAATTGAATATTCTTTCAAACAAACCAAGTCTTGAAATAGATCTGCCTGTTGTTTTAATGTTACCTGATGTCTGTCAAATTGCACTTTCATTAAAGTGAGACGAGGATGTGAATTCCACGGCTTTAGGTTTGTCGCCTCAGCCATCCTAATCAATGCCACAGGGGGAAACGATAAACAGAAATAACAACATCTTCTGCGGCCGTACACTATGTTTCCTCTCGGTTTGGGGACCTCTTTCAAGTGGTTAGGGTGATGGAGGGGCAACCTTTTTTTGGCAGCCCATTTATCCCTGAACCAGACTGGAAAGATTTACTCACACATGGTTTTCTCACCATACCAAATTCTCCTTAAGTGCTTGTTTAAAACCTCAGATGGTGACACGCTGGTCCTCTGAGTGGAAGCTGTACGACAAACATCGGTTATACCTGAACGCCGTCTCGGAGGGGTGTAAAATATCATGTGTTRTGAGGAGGGTTGGGGGGTGTTTTGCCCTCCAAACACATCCCTCTGACCCAAAACTTAACTCTGAACCCTGACCCTGCGGTGATGTTTAATTTAAACCTATTTGGGTCGCAGAAGCTCCACTGCTCGAACTTCGTATTCAACTTCGCTCTGCTCTACAGATGGCAGCCAGACTCGTGACATTTCACCAGAGAACAAACCCAAGATATAAAAAAAATACAATGTGCTGCGAGTTCTCCTTTAATTCAGAGTTATACACCCGAGTGCACAGATGCAGGTCATGGTCAGCCGTCGTAGGGAACCCCCCCTCTGCGTTGTTGTAATGCAATCCTCCCGCGGAAAATGTTCTGGTTTCAACCCTGCCCTGCGGAGCGCGCTCCCTCTGCCAGGTACGCAGACTTGGCCTCAAACCCGCAGGGCTCGCCTTGAAGTCGGCTGTATGTGCCGCCGATGTGCTGTAGTTRCTCAATCTAATATTGTATAACAACAACACGGCTCTGGGTTCCAGTTATCTCAAGTTTACCCGCACAAAAGAGCGGTTGTTTTTCGGCAGAGCTCGCTTTCTTACATGTCAAAGCTCAATCAAAACAACAAGAGCCATTCACGTCTGGCAATCATCTCCAAGCATGTGGCTGCAGACAAAAGGAACCGCTCTGGAACGGTTGATTTTTCTCCCCCCCAACCCATTCCAAATCTCCCATTTTTTTTCTTTTCGTACCTGTTTATTCCTTTTTAATACACACTGTGTGTCCCATTCCCTTAGGGCTGTTTACTGTGAGTCAGTGATCTTGCGGTGAGTTTTACTGCTAATGGAGGATGTTCTTTGGGAGGAACCGGCAGCTTGATGAGCTCCAAATGTGCAGCTGAAAGAAGCGTATTGGGTCTGACAGGTGATGAGGATTTTTTTTCCTGCAGTAAAGGAGAACAACGGAGGCTCGGCTGACTGGAGGGCTGTCCTGGTTGARTGATTTTGAGGTGTGTGTTTGTGTGTGTGTTTGTGTGGGAACGTGCAAGTGCTGCACGGCTGAACCTCAGTAATTTAGGTAATTTTCCCAGGGGCAAATTTTGATGTTGTCGACAGCTGAAGATTAGCAGGTAGCAGCAGAGATACCAGATAGAGAAGATATATGTTTTTCTTTCTGATCATCAGTTTATGAGTCGTTTGTTTAAATTATGTCATCGTTTCCAATCCTGTTTTAATTTGAATCTGCTGTCTTCCCCGACTGTCACTCAATCTGTCATTGGAGCTCAGTTATTAMATAGGTTTTAACGCAAGGTCAAGCTTGTAAGGTGAGTTTTTATACGCTACAAGAAGATTTATGCTTCCAATTTGTTCTTTTCAAGTTGCTTACAGGATCATGCATTTAGATAAAAAAGTCCAGGTCTCAAATGAAGTCTTGTCTGGCCTCAGATTGGTTGGTAAATTTCAACAGAAATATTATTTTTAACCCCATTTTCACGCACTTATTGTGATTTATGTTTGGTTTACTGGTTTAATCTCCAGTTCAGACCCAGGGTCTTCCATGCTTGTGTGGGTTTTCTCCAGGTACACTGACTTCTTCCCACGGACCAAAACTTAACATGTATGTTAGGTTGCCTTCAGGCCTCCCTGKCAAGAGACCTGTGGGATTTGCCTGGTCGTATAGAGGTAAATAAATAAATAAAAACTTTCTTAAAGGTTTTCCAAAWTAATCCCGGTGGATTTGAGAAAAAGATCAGTAATGTTGGAAGTTGGATTATAGAAGTGGCCAACAAACTACTAACATAATCTAATCAACATGCTTCAGTCCTTGTACTATTGATCACATCTTCCAACAAATTGAAGATGAACAGATAAAACTAGCCTTTTCTGTTGAGGGTATAAAAAAAAACTAAAAAAAACTCTCATTTTAGTTTTGGTCCAAGTTTCAAAAATCACTGCAGAGGGACCAAAGGGCCACACGTCGCCCCAGATTGCAGACCCCTGAAATTTGCAGGAAATACAACTGTAAAGCATGGATATGGCCAATAAATGCAGGGTCTTTTTTTTAAAACCTAAATATATGTTTTCTTTTATTTAAGTAATCAGAACCGAGAGCACAGACARCAAATGATCTGAAACTGTTTTTCATTCTTTTTTTTTTTTTACTACACCTTTCTACAACTTTCTGCAATCAGTACCCAACTTCTGAGTTTCACAGAGGGGTTGTGCATTTTAACGCACTGAGTAGTATGTAATACGCTGAGTTTCAACCCAACCCTGCTTTTTTTTTTTTTTTTTACCAATACAACAAATGTAAGCAGCTGAGTCAGAGGAAAAAACGTTGTTGACTTTTTAGGTCATTTTTTTTAAAAAAAACAAGCCCAGTTGTGGGGTAAAGCTTAATGACGTTGAAGGGCTTTAAGCCTCTTGTTCAACTTGTGAGGCCCAAAAGATAAAAGACTGAAGGAAAAAGGGAAAAAAAAAGAGGAAGCAGGCGAGCTAATCAGGGTTAATTGGCTGCTGCTTTTTTTTGTCCCAAGGCAGAAAAGAAATTAGAGCAATCTGAAGATCAAATAAGCATAAGTTTGAAGAAAATAAAAAAGAAGGTATGAGTACACTGTGACTAATTTACACAGAGACTTAACAGGAGGTGTGTTTGAGGTGGAAAAAAAATGATTGAGTGTATGAAAGAAAGAAAAGGTCACGCTTGTTGTGCAATTTTACACCTGAAGAGCAGCAGCGTGTTTTACAAGTATGAATCACAAGTTTCTGTCTGGGTGATGAAAGGATGAAAAGGTTCAGATTTAGTAAGTGGACAAAAAAAAAACAACATAAAAGTGAAAGCATCCAAAAAGGGGTAAGCACAGAAGAATGGATGTACATGAAGTTCCGACATCACCTCTCCGCTCTAATTTTCTCTGTTTGAAACTAGAGTTTGGGGCACTAAAAGGTTTCCAGTGTGTTACAACCAGCCACCCCCTCCTTCAGCTCTCTTACGTTTTTACTCACACATAAACATCGCTGTACTCACTCTCAGCAAGGCGAATTTAATCCACGTATGTAATTATGGCAACAAATGTTCTCACAAACACTCAGACAGTAACCTAAAACACCTACACAAACACTCCGAAATCTAAACAGGAAGTCCCCGGCAAACATTGAACTGATTCAAACACGTTAATGTTTGTGATGGTAAAACAAGCCACATGTCATTGTTATTTTTTTATTTTTAATATTTTGTGTGTGTGTGTGTGTGTGTGCGGCAGTGTGTGGGGATATTTTAGTCAAAAAGTGAACGTGACTGTGTGTTTAGCCGTTTGCCTGACAGACTCAAGTTTTTAACGCAGGAACCAGGAGAGATTTTATTTAAAGCCAGAGTAAATCTTCGACAGCCAAAGTCATGAAAATTTACCGGGAAATGGAAAAAAAAATACAGTCGTGTCAGATGTTTCTGACCTGGCTATATGCAAACAGACAAGGTCATGGGAGACAGTTAAAAAATAAATATTGTAAAAGAAAAAAGTCCTTTACTTAACATTCTTTATTTAACTAAATTAACCTCACTGAGATCTTAGATCTCTTCCTGTAGGCTGAGAAACGGAGACTCCAGAGAAAACCCCCACAAACTCCACACAAAAAGACCCCAGGTCCAAACTGGAGGTTGAACCTGGGCCCTTATTGCTGTGAGACAACATTTCTAACCACTAAGTTTTTGTGCCGCTAAACTGCGTAAAAGAACAGAAACTTGACCAAATCATAGAACAATTGAGTTAATCCCTATGTTCTCAGGTACACTGCAGTATAAGTCAGTATTTGTATCATTTGAATGAAGAGACAAGCATCTATATTGAATTTCATCATTAACCCTGGGCGAACATAGGTACTGGGGAACAGGTACTGGGGAGCATACCAGAGAACAGGTATGGGGAAATGTTACCGCGAAACATGGGTACGGGGAAATTTAGGTGAATACAGATACTGGGGAACATAGATAACAGAAAACACAATTACTGGGGAATTCCAGGGAAACATACAGTAGGTCCTGGGAAACATGGGTACCGGGGAACATACGTAGGTACCAGGGAAGGACAGGTGCTGGGAAAAATATTTACAGAGAAACATAGAGATGGACCCGAAAAATCTGCTGGAGCTGATATATTTCTAAATTTTTTGTCTCACTGAGTGAATAAATTCTTTAGAAAAATCCCTGCTCCAAGTCAAATAATAATAATGTAATAATAAAACTTTGAGAAAGGGATATTAGAAATACACTCTGTCTTTTTGTTATTGCTTCGAATAACTCTGGTGTGTGTGCGACCTCTCAGACAAGATGTACGCCTCATTAAGAAAACATCTCATCTGAGTTTTAATCAGACTTGCTGTAATTCTCCACAGCCAATCATCTGCTCTCGTTGTTGTTGGCTGTTGCCGGGTCGGTGGCTCTGGTTCCTTCCCACAACTTGGCCAGCGAGAGGAGTTCTATAGAAAGCACCTATGAGCTGACCAAATACCTGGAGTACCAGCTCAAGGAAATCAAAGACGTTTATGTGAGTAGTTTGCTCAAGTTTTGTTTCATTGCACTAATAAACTGGTATGTGACACGATGCTGACAAAATGAGTCAGAATGAGCACACGCTGCAATACAGAATGAGTGAAAATTTAAGATTTTTTTACCAGATTTGTGTAAAGTTAGTCAATAAAGACACTATTCAGTGATCACAGTAACAAAAAATTGCATATAGTCTTCTTAAACTAACTTTAAATTAAGTCTCTAACAGGTATGTCTTAGAATTAATCCCTTGTTTTTATAATAATTATAATTTCCTTCAAAACTGATCATTTATCTCTGCTGCCTGTAGCACTAGAAGTCCCTTCGTTTAATGTTCAGCTTCTTTGTGAATATCAAAACCTGAGCCTGTTGCTGGTAAAGATGTGACTCTCGTCTACAGTTGGCTAAAAAGCCAACGTGTGTTTCACCACCACTTTCACATTACTCTGTTTTCCTGCAAGAAATTATAATTTATAATTTGCTAGCAAAT